CTGCTGGTCTTCTGACCTTGCAGCACAAAGGTTTCTGTGTTTTAACCCGCAGTGGCACCACGTCCCTTATCCAGTGCTAGATGAACCCAAAAAGAGGAGTACATGATCTGTGCTATGGTTGGTGGGAGAAAACAGAAGCTAGAACAGCCAAGATGTAGCTGTAGTCTCTCTATGCCAACATATTTTGAAGGGCTGTTTTATGGACTTAATGAAACCGTGAAACAAAAGTATAAGTGCAACACGCACAGCAGAGAAATATACACACCCTTTAACATCTCAGGTAAACTAATGTTGCCCTGTTCTCACCAAAGAACACAGACTAGAAAGTTATCTTCATATTTCCGAACCTTTTCCTTAGGGTGGGCAACCTAAGGCAGAAGAGAATATTTCAGAGCAAAAACTCTACAAACATGATGTGTGTTGGTTTTCTAAACTATGTCCCCTTGCCTTTTGAAATAAAAAAAAGAAAATCCTGGAGAGCTAAGAGTTAGCAAAGATTGTCACTGGGGACAATGTTCAGAATCATCCATAATATGAAAGAAAGCTGGCTGGATAGCTCAGTGGTTTATTTGGCTACAGACCCAGAGGGTGGGAGTTCGATTCCCCACTGAGCCTCCTGCAGGTAGACCCAACCTGTGTGGTCTAAGGGCACAGTCCCACAGCACTCCCAGAAGAAAGGAAGGGTAAACCACTCTGAGCATCAGACACCAGGAGGGTGGCCGATAGAAATCCACTTTCTCTGCTGGCACTAGAGGTATTGGCAGCAGTCACCAATCAAGCTGTGCCCAAAATTTTATACCAAAAAAAAAAACACCTGTAAGCTTGCCAACAGCAACATCTCTATACTGAAATGGTAACAGGGCAAGAAACTGGAAATCTAACCCTGAGCATAGAATTTCACAACTAGGTGTCACTACTGCTTAGGAAACCTTCGCTGTAGCTTTTTCTGCCTTAATGCAGATAGCAGAGCCATCTGGAGGAAGCCTTCAAAAGCAACTTAAAATGCTGAGGAAGAGGAAAGGTGCCTCTTGAAGTACCTAAATTTATAGATGTCTTTACATGTAAGCAGCCACACTCTGAATTGTATCCTCTTTGGAATACAATAGAAGAACTAACTGAACCTCCAGGAAGGAACTGCAGCTAATCCTGACTTCCTGGAATGATACAGACATTTGAATTATGTTCGTCACTTTCGTGTTTTAGCTTTTTAACTTTTTGCATTTAAAAAACAAATTTAGACATACACCTAAAAGGATGCGGAACTTGGCCCTGATAAAGAACAACTGTGTTAGCTAGCACTCTCTACCTATTAATGTCTAAAGAACAGTTTTAATTAGAGTGGGTGAAGTGCAAACCCATTTAATTGACATCTGTACAACCATAAGATTATTGATTGCTAGAAGGCGATAGCGGTACGTTCGTTGACGTCAGCAGACTATACCATAACCACTAAGGCCAAAGTATGAATAAAACTGATTTGATTTGCTTGCAATGTGTCTTCTAGAATCTGGAGTTTTCCTCTATTGCAGAGTCACTTTACATCTGCTAAATTTGTAAGGAGAAAGGTCAAGGAATCATAGTCTGTCATGGAATAGGCTAAGTAGAAAAGAATGATCTTTAGCTGGAAACTTCAATTCTTATGTCAAAAACAGCAGAAAGTCTTATGGTCAGTTTTTATGGACCGTACCGTATTGTACTTCTTCAGATACCTGGAGTGTAACTGCAGTAGATATGACACACTCTTGAGTATCTGAAGACATGGTCTACAGCCCATGAAAGCTTCTGCCAAATATTAGTCTTTACAGTGGCATAAGATCCATTGGCTAACTCCCATTGCTAGTTCAAACTAGAATTGACCAATTTAACGCTTTATTGAAAGATTATTCAACACTTACATAGAGCAAAGCAAAGTGTGCTGCTTATATACCACTCCATGGTGCTTAAAGCACTCTCTGAACAGTTTACAATTTAATTATGCAAGCTACACATTGCCCCCCCATCCCCAGTGAGCTGGGTACTTGAGCCTGTAGGGATTGAACTCAGGTTGTGAACAGTCTTGACTGCAGTACTGCAGTTTAACTAACCACTGTGCCATGAGGCCCAACAAACCCAATTGATTTAGTGATTCTAGTCTACTTGGAACTAGCAATAGGATTCCTTTGTTTTTGCTGCAACAGACTAACCCAGCTGCCCCATTAGGGATTTTGGAGGCATATTTTAGATTCAGAATCTAAAGGGCAGCTGTCTTGGACTGTTGCAGCAAAAATAATGAAGAGCCCCATCACCCTTTATTGCAGCCTGAACATTCATAGAAAATGGCCCACTCCATCAGATGCATGGAATACTAACTGGAATGTTAGGTATTGGTACAGTTGATGTAGTTATAGTGGGGCTGTATTAAGTCAGATCAGTGGGACATTACATGTTGAAAGTACAGTAGTGACCATTGAAATTACATTATGCACACTGGTCATTTACCAAACTGTTGCTGATGGCACAAACATCTTGGCATTAGTTGAGATAATTCCTCCCTGTCCTCATTCCCACACTCAGCTGTGTCACAAGTGTGCATACAACTGAAATCCTGGATAACAATAAGTGCTGAAGTGGGAACTAGGCTGTGAAAGCTCAGACAATGATGAACCAGTTAGACCTCAATATGTCGTAGAATACTGTAGTTTTAGTCACAACAGTGGCTAAAGCTTTTTGAAGCTTAGCTGAAGTAAACTCTGACATTAGGAGTTCCCAAAGAACAGCATACAGACTGGTGTTTTTTTTTAAGTGTTTCTTCAAGAAACCCCTGGCCTCCCTTTTTAGTCATTTTGCAAAACATTTTGGATTGATAAGAAAGTGCTATGACTCTAGAAGGGCCCTAAAAGTAACTTCATAGGAAACTACAAAAAATAATTACTTTTTAGTTGAATAAAAGAAATGTGTTCCTATTCATTGCATTACTACTCTGTTCCTAATAATTGCATTACTTTTGTGCTGTATTTTGGTTATGATCTTTTTCCAAAACAAGAATTATTACATTGCAAGGAACTGAATTACTTGCAACTTGTTAATTCCAATTATAATGGAACTTGGGTTTCTGTAGAACACAGTTTGAAACCCACAGCAATAGCTTTTAAACACTGAAAAACATACGTAATCCTATTCAGCCATCAAGTCTAAGGATGTGTCACTGGAGATGAAGGCCAAGACCATCCATACTTATATTTCCATTTGCTATGTATGGATGTGAAAGCTGGACAGCAAAGGAAGCTGACAGAAAGAAAAATTGATTCATTTGAATTGTGGCGCTGGAGGAGAGCTTCGCGAATATCCAAGACTGCCAGAAAAATGAA